CAGGTCCAGAGAAGGGCAACGAAGCTGGTGAGGGGTCTGGAGCACAAGTCTTAGGAGGAGAGGCTGAGGGAACTGTGATTCTGTAATATTTTTGGCAAAGGCAGTTTAATTAAATCCCATTGAGCCTTTAGAGAGAGCTTTTATTTGAGATGAACAGTGATTTGCTGTTAGTTTAAATCCAGTCTCAATTTGTCTTAATGCTGTTTTTAATGGGGAAAAAGCCTGCATTTCACCAATTTATCATCGGAGGTGTTGGAGCAAGCCTTGGAGGCAGCCAAAGGGCCAGGGAGGGCACCACAGTGAGGCATGAAAATACTAGAGTTTGCAGCTTTAGAGCTTCACTGACAAGATGCTACAGAGAAGAAACCTGCTCAAGGCGTGAAAATACTAGAGTTTGGAGCTTTAGATGCACTGACAAGATGCTACAGAGAAGAAACCTGCTGGAAAGCACTGCTGAGGAGAGGGATCTGGGGGTCCTGGTGGACAGTAAACTCTCCATGGGCCAGCAATGGGCCCTTGTGGCCAAGAGGCCAATGGGATCCTGGGCTGCGGAGGGAAGAGTGTGGCCAGGAGGTGGAGGGAGGTCCTTCTCCCCCTCTGCTCTGCACTGGGGAGGCCACAACTGGAATCCTGCCTCCAGTTCTGGGCTCCCCAGTTCCAGAGAGACAGGGAACTGCTGGAGAGAGTCCAGCGAAGGGCAACAGAGATGATGGAGGGATTGGAGCATCTCCCTGATGAGGAAAGGCTGAGAGAGCTGGGGCTCCTGAGCCTGGAGAAGAGAAGGCTGAGGGGAGACCTTATTAGTGCTTCCAAGGATCTAAAGGGTGGGTTGAAGGAGGATGGAGCCGGACTCTTCCCAGTGGTTCCCAGTGACAGGCTGAGGGGCAACGGGCACAAGCTGGACCATGGGAAGTTCCACTGCAATGTGAGGAAGAACTTGTTTGGGGTGAGGGTGGCAGAGCCCTGGCAGAGGCTGCCCAGGGAGGGTGTGGAGTCCCCTTCTCTGGAGATCTTCAAGCCCCAGCTGGATGCTCCTGAGTGATGTGCTCTGGGCAGCCCTGCTTTGGCAGGGGAGTGGGGCTGGATGATCTCTAGAGGTCCCGACAATTCCGTGACACCGTGGCCGAGGCCGGTGTCCCTACCCTGGGCTGAAGGGAAACCGGCCGGTCCCTCTCTCCAGGCGGGTGCGGGTTTCTCTGTGCGGCCGAACCAGCGAGTCACTGCCGCCCTCTAGTGTCCGTGTCCCGCACCGCCCGGCGGGGACCGGCCTCAGACCCGCCTCCAGACGGGCTGATGGACACCTCCGCAACCCGGCACCTCTGCAGCGTCTGGCCTGGTCTGCCAAGGGACCGATCTGCGCTGCCTCACCCACCAAGAGGTGGTTACGCTTCTGGTTTAAATCTAGAGGTCAGGGTTTGTTTGTTGGTTTTTTTTTCTGTATCCACTCTGCCCGTCTGCATCTCGGATGCACCCAGACACTCCCAACTTCACGATTCATGCCTGTCCTCCCCATTTCTCCTTTTTTCTCCCCACAACCCCACCACTTCCAGCATGGCTGAGAAGTCCCTTAGCGGCCGCAGGGTCACAGCATCCCTTATGGGGAATTTTGGGGCCAGCTCCCACTTGAGACCTCAGGTCGCACACTTGATGAGTGAACAGAAGGCACTGACAAGCAAAACTTGGGGGGAGGAAGCAGGGGGTGCAAAACAATGCACCCCCTCGTCCTCCTGTTGGAGATGAGGATGAGGAACAGTCCCAAGAAGAGGGGACACAAGGAACTGGGGATGGGGCTGGGTTGCAGAGAAGAGGCTGATAATTGGTGTGAGCCTCTAGAATTGAGAGTCTGGCGTTAGCATAAGGATAACGATAAGGTTATCAATTAATTACTGCACTTTAAAATCTATAGACAGAAAAGGAGTCTGGCGTTAGCATAGGGGTAAGGATAAGGATATCAATTACTGCACTTTAAAATCTATAGACAGAAAGTGCTATATTCAAAGAATTATAGCATGATTTTTCTGTGATTTACTGCTTTACTAAGGCTACTGAATGTACTTTCCCCCATTTGAAACCCTTCCCTCTGGTGCTTGCTTGTTAGAAGGTGGTACTTCTGCTACTGAGCGTTGGAATGGAGGGGAGTTGGCCAGAAAGACACTTCATGCACAAAATCAGGGGGCAATAACAGGTCATCTTCTTTCTCTGGAGGACACAACCTACAAACTACAACAAAAAAAAAGATGCCAGTAGAATTCCAAACCTGGTCACCACACTGATTAATGGGGAAAAAAGGGTATAGGACTAATGAAGAAGAGAACACACTCTCCATGCAGACCAGAATTTGATTGGATTAAAAAAAGTGTATTGGATGTCCAATACAAAATAATAAACATGAAGTTATTAAAAAAAGCCATAGAGTATACAGCAAATACTACAGAAAAGCAAAAAAAAATAAAAATTGTACAGAAAGGTAGACGTCTACAGCAGTCCTCAAAATTATTCTACATGAGAATCATAAAACAATATACAGGTTTGGTTTTTCTCCCCAAATGTCTCTGAGGGAAGCTGCCACGTAACAGCTCGACTATGACACTACAAGGATACACAATGTTCCAAATTGAAAATCACAGGGTATGTAAGAAAACGTAGCATTAAAATGTGAAAAAGTGCAATACAGATTGTACACTGAAATTGAATAAATGTTTTTTTTTTCTTTTTAGTTTAACCTTAAAAAACCAACTTTGAACAGTTGTTTTATCATTAAAAATATTCCCCCTCCCCAAATTCAATGACAATATTAACATTCATGGTGTTATACATAAGTAATATTCACAAAGACCCACCAGCTAAGAATACTGCGTATGTACGATGGTATTTCTTTGGGTACAGGTTAAAAAATAGGCAAAGGAAAACATCCACCCCCTCCCTTCAGGACAGGGTGCGTAGTTAATTATTTAAATATTTAAATCTGTAGCTTATTTTGCCCTGAATTGTATTGATTAAAAGTCCAAACATCAATTATCCAGGTGGCCCACGGTGCGCCAATTAATTTTATTTCCCCCTCCCCTCCAAAAGAATAAATAAAATCAGCAAATGTCCTAGAAATGACAACACAGAGTGTTCGGGAAAAGAAAAGGAGTAAAACTACACCCCAAACCCTGGCTGCTCCCCGGGACCCTTCCTTGGCTCTCCCTGATGGGGACGGTGACAACGGGCCCAGAGCTTTAAAGCTCTAAAGCTTTAGCCACACGGGTAAAAGAAAATAAGTGAAGCAAAGCTCTTGGTGGTTTTTTTTCAAATTTAAGCAAATGACAGTAGTTCCTCTTCTGTTGGGACAGGTACAGCCGTGCAACAGGCGCCGTGGCCTGTGGCAGCCCTGCCTGAAAACCACCCAAAATGCCTGAAACACCCGTTACCTGCCCGTTCTCCGGCGTCACCGCTGAGCTGCCCCATCCCAACCCCAGCCCTGCGCAGGAACAGACCCTCTGGCACCATCATTGGTAAGTTTTGAATTTCCTTTCCTCTCCAAAGTGAAATTGCACAGGACTTTGTTAGGCAGCTGGGGGTTGGGTTTTTCTTCTTTTTTTTTTTTTTTTT